TGAACCTTCAGGCATAGTATTGGTAATTATTGAGGTCACTGTATGCTGCAGTGTATACGTAGCCATTGACGGGGCTCCTCTATATATATATATAGAGAGAGAGAGAGAGAGAGAGAGAGAGAGTTTCATAGGCACATGACCCTTTCGGGAACGATTCGGGTCAATTCTCTGTCATTTGCCAAATTGCGCAGGTGGTACCGGCAAGAGCAACGAGTCATCACCTCTGCTGTGAACCGGGACAATGCGTCCTGCATTTCTACCAGAGATGTATAATATGAAGCTTTACAACTTGTGGCAAGATCCATGTAAAGCCTAAGCCCTGAAACCCTAAACCGCATCCGTGGCCTTCAGGCTTCAAGCCCAATCATGTCAACAACCTGACCTGCTCGAATGGGTGCGGCTCCCAGGTCTAGTTTTTGGGCTTTGCAAATCAGAACATAGTTTGGGGGGTATCACCATAGGATACTTATAGTAATGAACCCCGTGGAGTCATCTGGGTATCTAATTTAGGCTTCTAATATTACCCGGATTTCTGCACCAGGTCGCCATATGAACTCGATCTCCTTCCTGAGCTTCTTCATGGGGTGTGAGAGGAGCAAGGAGAGGGCCGGCCAACCGCCGAAGATGGCCTCCTCCGGGACCGTCCGGACGGCTTCCTGGCCTCAGATCTCTGAACGAAGGATGCTCCGAAGCCACAGAGCCCTGGAAGGGTGTAGGGTTGAGGGTTCCCCTGGTCTTAAAAGAGAGACGCCTTGCAGTCAGCATTACGGTATGGAGTCCAATATCAAGGCCTTGATGAAGATGGTTTACCAGCCTGGGTCTATATATCACCTCGGATGGCAGTAGAGGTTGTGGAGATCGCCCGGCCAATGTGGGCTTCGGAGAAACCCTAAACCCTAAACCCTTCGGAGAAACCCTAAACCCTAAACCCTTCGGAGAAATCCTAAAGCCTGAACCCTTCGGGGAAATCCTAAACCCTAAACCTTTCCGGGACACTACCTGCGGCAAGTACAACTGAGTTGATGAGTTGACCTGCAAGCAATCAGACTTCAAAGGCTCCCCAGAGAGCCCGATACCCCTTAAATAAGGAATATACCTTAAATTATAGGGGCCTTACTATTACGATTTAGGGTATATTCCTTAATTAAGGGGTATTAGGCCATCTGGGTCCATCCTGACCTCTGACAGAGTGGGCAGCCTAGCTTCTAAGGAGCTTATAGGTATTAGTGCCCAACCCTAAACCCTAAACCCGAATATGATTGGCTATAGGAAACCCAAATATTAGTGGCCCAACCCTAAACCCTAAACCCGAATATGGTTGGCTATAGGAAACCCACAAACCCCAATAGACCGGACAGTACAGCTGAACGATGTTAAACGTTTGCGTTCGCGGTTTTAAGGCAGACGAGTGCTTGGCTGTGTCCTGGAGGCTGATCTCCCGCCCTATACCCTACTATAGAGGCCGTAAGAACGAAAACAAATTAGTGTTCTGACCTAAACTTTAAGCCCTAAAAACTTCCTAAACATTAGACCAGAAGCCCTGGGACCTGAAACTCAGATAGCAAATTCCTGCACCCTCAACCCCTCAAGGCTGAGCTTCCTAGACCCTTACCCTCCAACCCGAAAAAAACAAAAATCTAACATATCAACCCGAAATGTTCACCGTAAACATCCAAGTTATAAATCCGAGACTTGTTTGCACTTAACTTCCTGAACCCGCCGGCACCTTGTCGGCACCACCCTTGCACCAAGGAGGTCGCCCCATTCTTTTGCAGAAGTTTGGTCCGGACGAAGACGCCTTCGTCATCCTGGGGAGTCTACGTTTGAGCCTTAAAGACGGGGCCTTAATAATTAGAGTAGGGTTTCGGGGGTATATTATACTATAATTATTTGGGTCGGGGCTTTGAGGGAGTTTAGGGTTCGGGTTAACGGATTTGGGCCAAAGAGCGCCTGGCCTAGTGCAGGGTTTAGGGTTTAGTGTGTAGGTGCCCAAACCTGAAGCGGAGCCTTAATGCAAGTTCGGCATGTCCTGGACAATTGCGACGGATCCACCCTCGCGCACTTTGGACGCATAGATCTGATGAACATCATCCAGCCGATCCGTCCGCAAGCCAGGGTATCCTGAGATGCGGGTCGATACCAAATCCTCAGGCCTATGCAAGACTCAGACGGCAAACAAACTGATGAAAGCAATCTAGCATAGAGGACAGACTAGCAGACTAGCACATCCGAACATGCAACGAACACAGTGGTCGCCATAGTAACAGCAGGTAATGCTGTTGTCGAATATTATCTGTACTCATGAAGCTTGTTGTCGTCATCGCTTCTTGTTGTCGGCATTGTCGTCGTACTACGACTACGATGCAGGCAACAAGGACGACTAAGGCTACGACCAATCACGACCGCACTGGCCACCGCTACGGCCACCCTGATTTCTGTCATAACCCAACATGTCTTAGAGCAGACGTGCATCTGAGTGCCAGTATGGCCGTGCTAGGGCGTGTCTCCTTCGCAAGGAAATCTCCCCACGGTTTACGATTAGGGCTTTCGCAGCTTTCTGCTCAAGGCTGAGAACTTAGAGATGTATCCATTCGGGCTTGGAGTCCAGGTTTGCGTGTATGACTCGGTTTAGGGTTTAGGGAGGCGGAATGGCTGTAGCAATAGTCTTGGGCCTAAAACCCTAAAGCCGAAATCCTAAGCTCTAAAGCCCCAAAACCCTAAAACCCTAAACCACTGCTGTTTGCAATTAACGGAACCCTGCCAAAGGCCCTTTGGCTCTTCCAGACTTGGGCGCAGGCTAACGGCTCATCGAGTGATTCGGTCTTCAGGGGCCCAACATAAATCTCGCAGCTGAAACGCCGGTCTTGTAGGACCTTGTGCGCTTAGAGAGACTTAGATGCTAAATTCATGCATCCTCCACCCTGATAAGCTAAACATTCAACTCCTAAACCCTGATGCACAAAGCCATCGCAGCTTGCGGGTTTCAGGTCATCCTGGTAGCATACGGGCCTTAATCAATAGAAGACTGCTTTTCACTCGTCTAGGATAACGATATCGGCAATGTAGGACCCCTAAACCGGCATAAACCCTAAACCGACGCCACTATGTATGCCCGAATCCCTTAAACCCTACTGTAAACCCCTACACTTGACTTGAACACCTGGGACCCCTGAAGCCTGGCAGTTCGGTGCCTCCGATGTCTCAAACTAGGAGCTCCCTAAAAGTCGCTGGATATGTTTAGGGCTTAGGGGTTTGGACTTTAGGTTTAAGGCTTGGGGTTTAGGGTTTTGGGCTTAGGGTGTAGGGTTTATAAGCTTTACAGCCTGGGGCACCATGTTGCTACAAGGACGGAGAAAGGAGCAGCACATAATTCTTTGTTTCTCGAAAACATGTCACGCAATCCCCTTGTCAAGCCCTCTTCCGGGGCGCTATTAGGTACCCCTAGAAGTCGCGAAGTCGTAGCCGCACGCCACACGGAACCCTAGTTGAGGGGTGTTGATAGTTGGGTCAAGGCTTGGGGAGATATTCTACTGTCAGCAAAATAGGAGGGATGCACCAGGAATAAGACGCCAAGTCAAGTATTCAAGCCCCTGGTTTTTTACGTATTTGGGCCCCTGGTTTTAAAGCCTAAACCCAGACACCTAAACCTTAAACTCCCCAGACCCTTAACCCCGGCATCAGTCCTCGAAGGAGAGGCGCGCATCGCGCTGAGACTTTACCCTCTCCCGAGCCTCGTCACCGAAGAGTGGGTGGGCGGCCCCGCCGTGGTAGATCCTTTGACCCTTTAGGGGTTCAGAGTTTCGGGTTTAGGGGTTTAGGTTACGGTTTAGGCTTTGGCCGCTCTGCTTTCCGTCTTCAAAGATGGAGCTGTTGCCCTTGGGCTCCAGCTACCTAAACAGTAGGTTACTACCCGAACCCTAAACCCTAAACCCCCCAAACCCTCAACCATAACCCCCAAACCCTAAACCCTAAACCCTCAACCCTAGAAAAATCCTAAACCCTAACCCCTGAACCCTAAACCCAAACTCCCAAAGCCTGTACACCCTACATCCTAAACCCTAACACCTAAATCCTAAACCCTAAGGGTTGCATAACGACCTCGAGGGTTCGGACTTCTGAGGTCGTCGCAGCCTCTCTTGGGCGACTAGAAAAAAGGATCCTCCGAAAAGGTCGACATTCAACCTGGGGATGCCAAAACCTGTTGTTTAAGGGTTTAGGGTTTAAGGGTTTAGGGTGTTATGCCCTGTAATTTCAAAGGGTCATTACGGTCTGCAGGGTTTGGGGAGACACGGGCAAGGTGGCTTGTCTTGGAGCCAGAAGCCCTATAACCGCCTTAACCACTAAGCGGCCTGAACCTTAGGGTTTAGGGTTTATAGGGTTTAGGGTTAAGCCTTAGAGGTTTAAACCTTCAAAAAAACCTTCAAAGCCAGGAGACTCGAACTTCACAGCCCGCCGCTCGCAAAGATCTGTGAAGCCGCGCCGAGCAGCAGCGCGCCGTGGGGAAGAGCCAATGCATGCGGGCAGGCTGCGGGTGTACATGGGGGTTCTTTTTGGCCACAACTCAATCCCAAACCGTAAAGGCTAGATGAGAATTCCCTGGATCATCCTGCAGTTTACCTTAATTGCGCAGAACGGCGATGCTTATTGAACGTGACATCTACAAAAGGAGTGGCTGAACCAGTTCTCTTCCTTTCCCACTCTCTTCAAACACACGCATACATCCTGTCATCATCTATACATTAGCTCTATCGTATGTTTGAAGTCTGAGCCTGGCAAGATTTAAAAAAAATGCATCGAACGCTGCATGTGCTGTCCGCTGAGGCGCACACGCATTCTGATGTCTGCATAGGCTTGGAGCATCTTCGCGGCCTTCCGGTCTTTAGGCTGTTGGTTGAAGGTTAGGGTTCCGGGGAGCTGATTCCAGAGTTCAGGGTCTAGGGCTTTAGGGTCTGAGGGTTGAGAACTTGGGGTTTAGGTTTAGGTTGTTGATGTAAGTAAACCCCGCACCTTAAGCCCTAATCCGTCAACCTTCGCAGGAGCAGGAGGACCGTCGTGCAAGCCCAGATCCCAGCAAGCAACCTACGGTTTCGTTCTTTCACAATAATTGAAAGGACACTGACACCCGCAGCTTTGAGGCTGCCGCGACTCTGCTGACAGTTCCAAAGGCTAAGAAATTGGAAAGGACAATTATTTGAGGGATTTTAGGGCTTAGGGTTTAGGGTTTAGCGTTTGTAACTTTATGCTTATGCCAGGTGTCTAACTCACTGCACCGGGCCATGTTTCAGTCTGAGCGGGCCTACGAGAACGCACGGCGGTACGGTTGCTACAGCTGTCCTACGGCCCTGCGGCTCACCGGATCAGATCTTTGGACTTGGCCCTTTTGTGTTCCTCTGGTAAGTGCAGCATCATCGTTCTGGTGTCGTTGTTGCACTCGATGATAGCCTTTTTGTGCTTCCTCAACGCCCGCTTTCCCTCCTGGAGGTGCTCCAGCTCCTGCACCCGAGCAGCAGTCGCAGCCCAGGTCTTTGATCCTTCGACGAAGGTCTCTGGTCGGCCGCAGATGCAGCCTCCATGCTGGTACCCTTCTGCTTCCACTCTTTTGGAAGCCTTCAACCATAACCTCCAGGGCCCTAGGGCTCCAGTTACCGAAATAGCAGGTTACTCACCATAAAAAAAAAGCAACAACGGCACCCCCGAACTGAAAACCAGAACCCGAACCCCGGAAGTAAAAAACCCGGAACCTGAACCCGTGAACCTCGTCGATAGCGCTGAGCCCCAAAGGGTCCCAGCAATCGTGGACATTGCCACAGCTGAGGCAGCAAAATTTGCTGTCCTGCTGCAGGGAACCCCCCCACTCCCACCCTTCTCGTGAAAGGAAACCCTCTCGTGATCCTAAGCCGGGGGAAACCAGAACCGGAAGGGGCGACCCCGAAGGAACTGAAGAACCCTGAAAAGGAACCCATCCGTAGAGCCTCGTCGTACTCCATGCGAGTGCTCCCGCACTCCTGGCAAACAAAGTCGCCCTCCGCGTAGCGCAAAGTCATGATGGCCAGAAAAGCACAGAATACAGGGAGGCAGGAAGCAGTCGAAGAGTTCGAACGAAGCTTGAGCAGCGTTGTAGCGTCCAGACAACTACAACCCCCCCTCCCCCTAAAGCCTAAAGTCTGCATTGCAAAGAGCAACAAAGCTAAGACGACTTCGAGGGTCCTTCTAGTTTGGAGGAAGGCTAGCCTGGCCTATGCCACGCTGCTCGCTAAGTTTTTGGGCTTGCTAGCACACGAAAGATGAAAAGCAAAGCTTACCTGAGTCCATCCTACATTGCGAGCAAGAACGCCGCCTGGAACTCCAGGGCCCTTATAAGTTAGACGAATCTTCGAAGCTTTGTGTATGTGCAATCCAGCGAGGCGATGGTGAAGTACCGAAACCCTTGCGAAGATCAGCCTAGTCGTGCACTACAGCCGACCGAAAAGCAGATCGGTTTTGGCAGAACTATTAGTAGCCCAATATTTAGGCAACCGGAAACCTCGGGCTAACTGGCAGCCTTGATGTCCCTGTCTCTGTACGATGAAATGAAGGCTTCTGATTCTTAAGTATGGCGGGGATGTTTCGGATATACCCAGAAGCCTACAAAGGTGACAGGTTACCTACCCAGCCCCTTAATCTAAAGACGGCCGGCATCCAAAACCAACTCGAAAGCAGAAACTCTCTGGATTCCGCGTCAGCAATCGGCCATATGCTATATGCCACCTGAAACTCACTCCAAGCAGCTTCATGCTTTTTAGCCTCAAAAGGAAACAACCCTGAACCCAAAGACAATCCAAACCAAAACAAGCCCGACATCATGTCCAGCCTCTTCGGCACCAAAGGTTTTGGCCTCTCTCAGCGGCAAAGCCAAGGGCTCATGTTACCTAAATAATGGGTTGCTGGGGTATATAATGTATGGTTAGTAACCTACTATTTAGGTATCTGGACCTCTATCCCCAAACCCTCAAAATGGTACGTAGGTTATGAGCCCTTCATTATAGGGTATAACCCCTAAAACAGTAGGTTTGGGGATCCCCAGGGATGCCCTAGGAAAAGGTAAGAAAGAAAGGTTAACGGTCTCGGGCCCGGATAACCCTAGTTGAGGTACTACCCTGGAGTTTAGGGTTTAGGATTTAGGGTTTAGGGTTCCGGGGATAACCCTAGTTGTGGTACTACCCTTAGGGCTCAGGTGAAAACCCTAGTTGAGGTACTACCCTAGGGTTCACGGTTTAGGGTTCAGGGGATAACCCTAGTTGAGGTACTACTACCCAGGGAGCTAGAGTTCCTCTTGGGGATCTTGCATGGATAACCAGAAAAAGGAACTACAATGGAGACTATCGGTTTAGGGTTTAGGGTTTAGAGGTTTAGGGTTTAGGGTTTATAGGTAGCTCTACATATAACTCACCAAGGCTTCGCAACGACATAACACTACCTATGGCTTCACTGACAAAGGCCCGACATCTGCCCTGCCTTCCCAATTGCCTCCTCGGCCAAGAGGTAGAAGACGCCTCGGCTGCTACGGTTGATGATATAAATCCTGCATTACCCTTAATAAGGAATATGCCATAATTCCCATAGTTTAGGGTGCTTAAGGTAATAAAACCCTAAACCCTAAACCCTAAGGAATATACCCATAATTCCCATAGTTTAGGGTCCTTAAGGTAATGCAGGATTTTAATCATCAACAGTAGCATCGTGCTCGTCTCAGATGAGAAGATCGAAGGCCCTGTACGCTCTGCGGCTCATGTGGAGAGAATCACCAAAAAAAGGCTGCGGCGCACGGTGCTGCCCTTCATGAAAGCAAAGCAGCTCCTCGAAGCCCCAACCGGCTGCGATAAAGTATCCCAAAACCCAGAACATCCCCATGAACCATAAACCCTAAACCCTAAACCCTAAACCAAGGACATCCCCATGAACCATAAACTCTAAACCCCAAACCCCAAAACCCTAAACCAAGGACATCCCTACTGGCCAGAGTCCAGCACACAACTGAAGGTCCTCACACGTACGAAGCCCCGAAGGCCTGGAACCTGCGTCTGAACTCTACGGATTTTAAGGTTTAGGGTTTGGGGTTTGGGGTTTAAGATCAGGGTTTAGGGTTTAGGGTTTAAGATCAAGGTTTAGGGTTTAGGGTTTAAGTTCAGGGTTTAGGGTTCAGGGTTTAAGTTCAGGTTTAGGGTTTAGGGTTCAGGGTTTAGGGTTTAGGGTTTAAATTTAAGGTTTATTCCTAAAGCCCTGTCCAGTTTTGGAGCTCTTAGTCTGCTACTACTACGACAAATAGCTATGAACCATCATCATCACCATCGTATCAGCCATAAGAGGAGCTGAAACAAAATAACAAGCTAGCACACAGCCGGGTACAACTCATAACAGCTGCAATAGTGTCACAAGGCATACTCACACAGATGAAACAACAGAAAGTAATCATCAACATCACCCGTTCTTCTCGCGATTGCGAGTTTAGTGCTGTTTTAATATAGCAATATTTTCGAGCCAAGCCGCATACCTTGCTTGGAACCACGAACCGCGAAGCCTAGGCCCGAAACCTAAACCCCGAAAGCCTAAAGGCATACACCACCAAAACCTCCAAATATTGCACCCCTAAGCCCTAAAGTTTAGGGCTCAGGGGTGCAATTTTTGGAGTTTTGGTGGTGGCCCTAAAGGTTAGAAGCTTAAAAACGCCCCAAGCAAGGAATAATCCCAAACCCTAAACCCTAAACCCTGAACCCTAAACATATCTCCTTGCAGCCGGACAGCGGAAGTCCCTACGCTCTGCCAAGGCGAAGGCTGCAGCACAGCTGGCCAGATCCTGGATGTGCTTTCTTGTTTTGGGGCCTCTGTAGGTTACAGGTTTTGCAAAAAGGGCTTCATTTCTTGGGTTTTCGAAGAATGTAAACATTCTTTACTTACAACAATAGGGTTTCTGCAACCGTCTCAGCTCCAATAGTTCAGGTTTCTTGCCGAGGCACGTTTAAGTGAAACCTGCGACTATTGATGACAAGCAATACTACTGCTCTTGCTGCGACTTTGAATGTTAACATCATTAGTACGACGACGACTGCTAATACTACTACGACTACTACGACGACTATGACGACGACGACTACTAATACGACTGCGACTACGACGACGACGACTACTACTACGACTACGATGACAGTGATACATGATTGTCCGGTGCGTTTAGTTTACAGACTGTTTCTATGTCTGTTTGCAATGTAAGGCAGATACTGTCGGACCCTTGTTTAGATGCACCAAGCCTTAATTAAAATTTTAGCTCTTGTGAGGACGCTCGGTCCGTGTTTCAAGGGAGCTGTGAACACGGTGGTACTACATGCACATACATACATACATACATACATACATACGTACATACATACGTACATACATACGTAATACGTACATACATACATACATACATACATACATACATGCATACATACATACATACATATCTACCTACATGCATACGTACATACATACATGAGCATATGTATGTGTGTATGTATGTATAT